TATCGCGTTATCGATAATAAAATTAAATAGTGTCTTAAATCAGCTTTCAAATAGATGTACTTTGATTAATTTATTTATTAATTGATTTCTTATTCTTCGATCTTTTTTTATAATTTTTTAATTTTTAATATAAAATACATAAATTATTAACTCTCAATGCATTTAAATATTATACAATCATTTTATTGTAAGATTGAACAACTGTATATTACATTATCAAGAATTAAAAATAAAGCAATATTATTGAATAATTGAATACGTCGAATTATACATTGAAAGGTTTTAATTTGACATTTTATTTTCTTATCAAAAACTGACGAATCTTACATGCGAAGATTCAACAATTCTATTTAAATCTCTTAATACTGATGCCGCTTATATATGCGGTTTTGGCGCACATATTAGGCAAGTAATTAAATTAATTAAATCGTTGCTTTTGCTTGTATTATTGGTAAGAGTCGACGGTGAGAGATAATGAGAAGGAAGAGGAACGGATTAATGATGTTTCGATGAGAGGCAATCGACGTACACGTCTTATAAAATTGTCGGAGATTGACAAGTCGCGCAAATCCGTTTTCTTTCTCGTGCAATGATTTGCGAAACTTTTACGTACATATTTCGTAAATTACGTAATTTGCGACGAGCTTCTTGAGAAATTGTGTCATTTAAACGTGAACTTTCAAAAATTGAAAAAAAAATTAATGAAAGTTCTGATTGATTAGAAGCTTATTTCTGTTTGTCAATTTCTTCAAAATTAATTCAAATTAAAAATAATAATTTCAAATTGACGAAATGACACAATTACAGATATAGTTATTAATCCGCTGTGTAAACAAACGCGACTATTGCACAATTATTGTTTAAGCAGAATTTTAATAGTTACTCCGATATTCCGCTGTTTAATTCAGCGATTAATAATCCGTTCAAACAGAATTTTTACACACGCGCATTCTTAACTACTTCTATGCGAGCCGTTTAAGTTCTTTCTCTCGCCGTATAATTATCGTGCTTTGCGAGATAAGGCTCTTTACGACGCCATGCATTTTACGAAGTTTCGCGTCGTCGCGCCGCTAATAGAAGCACGATCGGGCGTATCGTAAGCATGCGGAATATTAGGACACACACCGCCGCGTAACCTCGCTCGGAGTTGTTAGCTTTATCGCCGACACAATAGAATTTTTACTTTCTGTTGCCGGCCGCGAGCGAGCGAACGAACGAACAAACGGTTGTTTCGCAGTTTGTAAAATTGACGATTTAATAGCGTACACACGCAATATGAAAATGTATTGTGATTGATCATTGAACATATCCCAATTGTTGTGTATATTAAAATTTGTACATTTCTATATATGCATACGTACTTTGAGCGAAATAGTTGCAACGAGAAATACACATAAATTATTACTCTAAATATTATTTATTTATGTTCGTATTATTATATATTTTTCATCGCGACATATTAATTTTATAATCATTATTTTATCAGCATTCGGAGAGAATGCTCGTGCACACCAATTTTAAAACTTGCTTTATTTTTTGTTATTCGAGATATATAGGTTTGCGCGAAAATTAATCGAATTTCTCGGACAATATGAAACAGAATCCGTGTCTCTGTCTCGTGGAACGACCATTTCGCACAGTGCGCGGGTTCATGGCGTGCATAACGAAATCGCGGGACTCGTAAACGGCGCGCGCGGTATCAGCCGCGGTACCCGATAATTAAAGCGCGGAACCGGCGTGTCTGGTGTGGAGAATCCTTTAATCCGCGCGGCATTGTGCGCCGCCGTTCGGCCATGTCGCGATAACGATCGAGAGGGTAAAGAAATCACGGGCGATCGGCCGGTGGTTTAAGGATCGGCCCGATTACGCGAAAGAGAGAAAGATTCGTGATAACTTTCTCCCCGGGGTTCCGCAAAAACGCGCGCCGAAGCCCTTTCGGGAATGGGATTTTTCTAATTTTCCAAATCGCAATCGCGCGCACACGGAGAGAATTTTTCTCTCAGAATTTAACCCCGAAAATCATGGTAATCGTGGAACGATGTGGTATTGGACGAATTTTTTGTAAGAGTTTCTCGGAACATATATTTTATATTTTATATGCGATGGATATTAATATATATATTTTATTATGGTAAAATTAATCATTTTATTATGACAAATTCTGAGAGAAAATTTTCTCGGATTCTTTCGAATCGTGATCTTGTATTCGCGCGTCGAAAAGTCAATTGGAGGTGGAGATTTATCCCTGACCCTAAAGTCGCAAATTAATTGCGCGCGTTTATTGCATCGAAAGCTGAAATCATCGAAATTATCGGACGCTTTAGATATCGCCGATCGTTTCACACTGCACTCCATTGCCTCGCAAGACAATAGAACGTGGGAAAACTTTTCAACGTTTGTGTAAATACAGGGGAGAAGGGGGAGGGGGATGAATTTAATTTTGCTCGGCGGCGATGGTGGTGTTTACCGACGGGACGAGACGCGTCGCGACGTCACACGCCGGGAATATACACACACGCACACATAATATATATATATATATATATATATAATATATATATATATCAAGCCGAAAAGTTTTTATCGTCCCGCCGAACGCATTTGCTGCAAATTGATGGAAATAATGGCTCAAATTTGGTCCCGGGTGAGTTTTTCACGCTGACGCACGCGCGCATTATACACGTGTGTTTATAAATATATATATATATATATATATAATATGTACACACACACACACACACACACGCGCGCGTATATGTACCTATACATATATTCGCTTCGCGAAATACATTATCCGCGGAGAATGGACTGTTAACGCGGTTATATGACTCCATTTTGTGCGTTACACGAAACATCATCCCGCGTTACAAAGAGCCCGTAATGACGCGTCATGTATATGCGATCGCGCGCGGCGCGGTAAAAGCGTGAAAATAATAGACAACGTTATTCGCCCGGCCACGCGAATGTTGGTTTTCGGACGCGGCGAACCCCTCTCTTTCTCTCTCTCTCTCTCTCTCTTTGGCGGAGCGTACAAATCGCAAAAATGTTTTCCGTAATTCGCGCGGGCGACACGCCCCTACGACGCGCGATGCGGCTAAAATAAACGGGCGCTGAAATCGCGCACGGTAATCTACGAGATCGAGAGAGAGAGAGAGAGAGAGAGAGAGAGTGAAAGAGAGAGCGCGCGCGAAGGGGAGCACCGCAAATTATCCGTTCGCGCGCCCTCGCCGTTGTTGAATGGCCAATTCTCTACTTGGAAATTAAGCTATGGCCTAAACTAACCTAGCATAACGTCGCCGGCACGACCGGTGCATCCATCGGTCGAGTGTTTGCACGGTTGCTTCAGCGCGCGCTTCCCCATCTCTACGCAGACAGAATTTTCTCTTGGAATTTACCCTGAAAATCATGCTAATAGTGGGACAATATGGCATTTTTATTGGAAGAATTTTATAAGAGTTTCTTTGATTAATATTTTTACCACAATAAATATTTTAATATTTATCACAATAAGATATAAAATATGTTCCATTAATTTTACTATGTATATATTAATATTTTTTATTAATTAGAGAAAGTCTTATAAAAGTCTTCCAATGCATATCTTACGATTACCATGATTTTTAGGGTAAATTCTATAAAAGAGAATTCTCTCCGTGTATAAGAAAAAAAAATAATAGAAAAGCTTTATATTATGTAATAAAGAATAACTTTAAAATAATTTGACAAAGAAAGGAATTGTGTGAAACGCGATGTGGGTGTCAAAGATAATTGCAAAGAAAAATTCTAAAAGGAAATTCTCTCTGTCATATCATTGGATGTTCGCACTACGATGTGCAACGAAATAGCATATACCGCACACATTGTATATAGAGTGATTCATATTGACTTATTTAAATGCAAATATGATAAAAACGTACGGCGAGCTTTATACGTTAATTCGTCTATTAACACATCACAACGTTAAAATATCTATATTATAACCAATTACACATCGCGCATATATTTTACACGCCGGGAGGAAAGACTTCGAAATTTGCTTTTCAAACGACGTGTTTAATTTGTCTTACGGAGGAGAGTCTTCAATTTAGTCATTAATTCCTCGACAAAGAATTTTTTTCCCGTTATATTGTGCCTTCGTGCCGCGGTAAACGACGCGGTAAATAATTCCGCGGAGCGATAATGAGCAATTTCCATTTCGGTTTTCCGGCGCTTCTCTTAACTTTCCTCTTAATTCGCCTCGCGCATAAGGTATATATCTATATATATAAAGTCTCTCGCGCGAGATCGCTTCGCCTCGGTTTTCCCGCGATGTTTTATTGCGAGGATTTATTCGACGTGTTTGACACGTTTGCGATAATGGTCGGCAGCGCCGAGCCTCTTCTTCTCTTCTCTCGTTTCGCCGTCGCTCGTAATGCACCGTGCGGCCGTCACCGCGGTCCATTGAAAATTGCATTGTAATCAATGCGTCGTAGATCCTGGAACGTGACGTTGCGCACAGCCGGCAGCTTTGCGCCCGAGATATACATATACACGCATATATATACACGTTGGACAGGTATGCGCCTTCTTTCTTTCCCTTTTCTACATCTCTCTCTCTATCTTCTCTTTTTTTTTCTCGCTCTTTGTGTCCCCGGGTTCGAAACACGCCTCGAAGATTAGGATAAATGCTCCTGGAGCGACGACGGAACGCGCAGTTTACGCTCCTAGTAAATCGAACGATAAATTGATCGCTCGCGCCATCGTAAAGCTTTGCTCGTGCGCCGACGAAATGAGAACACATGGTCCCCATGCGAGATACAGCGCGGTTAATAGAGAATACTCTTTATTTTTTTAGGTATTATTTCTCGGGAGAAAGAAAAATTTTAATGGCAAACCATATTTTCAGTCTTGAATACAGAACGCATTGTCAGGAAACTATTATATATATATATATATATATAATCGCATAAAGCAAAAATGACAGCAGCGAAATATAAAGAATGCATTTTTTTTCTTTTCAGGAGATTGGAGATATTCCACGGAGGAATAGGAAAATATTAAGAAAAGTGTTCGTGCGAAACGCGTATAGGTCGAGAACTTAAACGAGATTTTCGCGCGCGAAAAATCGTTTCCCGTTTCCGTATATAAATTAATTAATCGATGAGAAAGTGTAAACACTCGGCGATAAAGTATAGTAGAACCGCGATGAATCGCGTTGTGCCGTGAAAACAGTGCGCACGAGAGAGAGAGAGAGAGAGAGGATCGATCTTAAAACTGCAAGCGTCGTCAAATGGAGTCCCTTCCGGATCACGAGGATGCGTTTGAATCCACGAACACATGTTGGTGAAATGATCGTGTGCGTGGTGTATCGTGGATGCTGCAGCGATTTCTAAGAAGCAATTGCCCAAGACTAAGATGTACCCCGCGCCGGCGAGACATCCCGCCGCTCCCGTAAGTACACTCGCATCTCTTTCTTCTTTTTTTTTTCCCCTCCGCAAGCGAAGAAATCAATAGTGCCATTCATGACGTACCTAAAAGCTCGGAGCGTGTAAAAAGTTGAATACATCGATAAGAAAAACGAGAAACTTCATAGAATCTGAATAAATGAATACATAAGCGCTTTATTTATATTGTTCACTTTAATCCGACGATTTTATTTTTTAAAGCGCATTGAATCATGCTATTAATAATGCGATAATTGCGGGCATTCATCAATTTTACACGCAGAGAATTTTCTCTTAAAATTTACCCTGAAAATCATGGTAATCATGCGGAGACTAAATGGTATTGGAAGAATTTTATGTTTCTTCGATTAATATTTATCAGAATAAAAAAATATTAAATATTAAATGTACATAGTAAAATTAATCGAACATATTTTATATTTTATTGTGGTAGATATTAATATTTTTATTGTGATAAATAGTAATCGGAGAAGGTCTTATAACATTCTTTCAATATACATATATATTGTGTTCCACGATTATTATATGATTTTCAGGATAAATTCTGTCTGTGTGCGTTTGAATTTCTGTCGTGAATTTCCCGGGAGCTACTATAGTAATTCTTCGTTTACGCTGTTATTCTCAACATTTTTATTTAGCGTTATCCATTATAACGAGCGTCAAAGGGTAATATAGTGTAATTACCGCTCGGGCACGAGCGAGAAAGTGTGTGAGAGAGAGAGAGGGACGAAAGAGCACGTGGGAGTCGAGCCGACTCGTTCTCGCACTTCGCGTTACTAATTCGAAGAATGTTTGATTGTTCCTCGCATACGTCCCTCTCTTCTCTCTCTCTCTTTCTGCCACCTCCGCTCGTGCCGCTCTTTTTACCAGCATAATTTCACGCGTCGCACAAGCTCAAAGTTCCTTACGACGAAACGAGACCACCGGCGAATTTGCTGACATACAGACATAGTGAGAAAGAGAGAGAGAGAAAGAGACGGAGGCGGCCGTTAGAAATTGTGAGGATTATTTATAGAGCCCGCAAGTCAACGTACAACAATTGCCGTTCATAGAACCGGCCAATGGGCGATATGTGGGCACCACTCGTTTGCTTATTGACGCTGATGTGGCGCCGCTCTGCTCAAGGGGGCACAAAGTGACTCGATCGTTTCTTCGACGAGTGCACTCGAATAACGCGCCGTAATATTCATCTTAATACTACCGCGCGCGAAACGCGATCTATCGATAATTATCGCGGTGACTAATGATGGAAGGACGTTTAATTGACCCGAGCAGGAGAGAAGAATCGCGAAAAGTTAAGCGTCGTTAATGAGCCCGATCATTTCTCCGCGAGCACTTGTGTCTCTGGGGACGATGATACATACGATGATTGTACTCCTCTTAACTCATCCTCACGCGAAACTGCTGATAATTATCTCGGCGATTAATAGAATGACATAATTGACCCGGGAGAAGTCGCATATAATCTTTTCTTCTCGATCATTTCTTTTCTTTTTTTACGAGTATTCGCGAGATGTATGTCAATTGACGGTATATATACCGTATTTAAGATCTCGTGTAAGACTAAAAAAATATGTAAAATTATATAAATAATAATTATTATTTATAAAATTTGGTGATAAATAATGAAAATGTATTTGTTTATCGTGCAATTTTACACTTAATATAATTACGTAATTTTGTATATTTTTTTTTTTACGCAGCGAACAACTGACAATATATTATCGTAGTTGACTATTAAACATAATTGAGCTGAGAAAACGAAGTTAGACATCGTTACCGAAAGTTATTATTTAATTCGGGAAACTAATTGGGAGATGCATTGCGTGCCGTTAAAAGAAATTTAAGCCAGTCTTGCATTACGATTAAGTATAGTGTCTTTCGCTTCCGCGCCGTTGGAAGGGCGTCTTCTTTCTGCCCGGTAATAGCGCATTATTAGCGAGCCTTTTAATGGAAATGAGTGGAAATTAACTGTCATTAGAGCCGTGATATAGATTTCGCGTAATAACGTTGCGAAGAAAGCGATAACACTGTCGCTATTAATAGCGGGACGCATAATCAAGCGTAATCGTCGTGGCACATGATCGACTATTTACGCGCGGTCATTTGACGGTTATTTATTACGTTCTTCTCTCTCTCTCTCTCTCTCTCTCTGCGGTCGAGAGATGCGGCCGACGAATGTCCGAGAGATGAAGGCTTTCGTGCTTTATTAATGTACGACGTAAGGCGGATTTGTCATAAATGGATGACTCGGCGTAAGAAAAAAAATGTAAATGTCATATCTTTATAATTATTACCGCGTTGAAAAAATTTTGATATATCGCGGCAAGATCAGAAAAAATTTAGATATTTAGAATAAAGGTGCCGGTTATTCTTTTCCTCTACCTCTTACAATTAGTAGATATATTAATTATTCAAAAAAAGAAAACTTTCCGTATAAATGTAATTTTTTTTATCGTCTCTTTTTGACATACCCTCGTTTTTATCTCGTCTGACAGCTGATTGTCGGTATGGCAAGAAATTTCTAGACGCGCGGTAGAAATTCCTCGCTTGCCAAAAGCAAATAAACGAATGCACGCTGGCGAGCGTTACGCTCGTAATTCTGTAACCCGGATCCTCTTCGCGGCAAGGATAATAAAAGGTGAAATAGTTATACGCGAGAGTCGTTAAGACGTGCGTCTAGAAAACTGTAAAAAGCGAGAACATTGGAAAGGAAGGTATTCCGGAGAGAGTATCGGGAAAAAGAGATCCGGGGAACAGCTCTTTCCCCGCAATTCCCCGTTGCGATAGATAGAAAAAAAAGGTGGAGAATTACTTACTCGTGGCGCAGTACGTGTACAATGTTTCAATAACAAATGATAGAACGAATACTTAATGGTTTTTATATATATATATATATGTGTGATTCTACTTTTCCCGTATTTATTCAATTTTTGACGCGTTAAGAATAAATTTCAATCTCGCAGAAAAACAGTCATCTAGGAGGATGACCCTCTCGCGACGTTTATAATCCGATCGAATCGCGACGATTTCGCTCTCTGAAATAAAAGAGGAAACGCGTGCGGCACGTTCCACGATCTTGTCAGCTGTCACTCGCGCGAGTGTATTCGGAACTATTCGCACTCTCAGTCATGTCCGTCGTTAAGAATTAAAAAAAAAAAAAAAAAAAAAAAAGAATTTATGGTAGAGGATCGCAATTAATAATGGCGAACTGGGTGAACGTCCCTGCCTCTCTCCGCTTACGTCTTTGATTAATAGTTATCTCTCGTGTCGCGGGCGTGCATTAGAAGTTAAGCGAACAAAAGCGCGAGAGAGGACATTGCGAACGAGCGCTCGCAGCAGCAGTAGCAGCGGTGCCTCTGCCGCGACGATATAGTTTGCGCAAATGTAGGAAGTAATATCGTGGACAACAAGAGAAAGAGAGGGAGAGAGAAAGAGAGCCTCGCGACGCGCTCTTTGCAAAATGCGTCTGGCTGAGCGCGGGGGCGGCACCGAGAGCGGGACAAAGGGACGCCGCTTTGTTTCGTCGTCTCTTTCTTCTCTCTTCCCCCTCGCTCGTTCTTTCTCTTTCTCTCCTCTCGGTCCTATCCTTCCCGCGCCCTTTCGTGTCGGTTCGCCGTGTCGTTTCGTGCTCCAGATTCCGCGGATTCTACGCGCCTCGCCCTCTCATAGAGAGATTGCCCGCGCTGAATTTTATATCAAAAATCTCGCCGTTTATTGCTTTATTGTCTTCTCGTGTATAGAGGAAAGATGGGAATTGTGTTCTTAAATTACATGATTTGACTTGGCAGTTTATCATCATTATTATATACGCACTTTTTTATTCCGATCTCTATGCATATATCGAAATATCTCTTAATCTAAAAGGATGTTATATACGTATTTATTTATATATTTGTATTGTATATTTATGAGAGAGAAAAAGATAGTATTTCTGATAGCTGCGATACATATATACACACGTGTTGACTCTTGCCTGCATTATTGAAAATTGTTTATAAATGCCATATAAAACATATACAGATATGAGTGATGAACTTTTTTAATAGTCAGCAGAGTAAACGATCTATTGGTTGCAAGATTGGTTTTGTGAATGCCTGTAACAGAAAAATATCGAAAGGAGGAATATTCGGGAAGAGAAAGAATTAACTGAAAAAAATTACTCGGATACGACACGGCCCCCGAATATTGTTTGGAGGGACGACTCTGCATTCGCGCGGCGATTGAAGAATTACGTTGTAATTGGTCGAATAAAAAATTGGGATTGCCACATGAAAATGATCTGCCCGTCGGTCGGTCGTGAGCTTTTTCCGCGTATCGGGGGACGGAAAAAATTTGCCGATGACAATCGCTAATCAAATCGTTCGGCGACTAATTGTTCGCCGAATGGCTCGTCCGAATTGGTACGAAGAGCGAAAATTGAAAATGTTCGCCGGAGGCTTCGTTGTGCTTTGAAAGAGAGAAAAGTCAGGCTAGACGGAACTATTCACGGGAACAAATTGCATAGGCGGAATAAAAAAAAAAGAGACAAACGTAAGGAAACTCCTTTTAGCGGGAAAAAGAGAGTTTTGCTAGAAATTTAATAAAGCTGACTCGAAATATATATAATTGTTATTCGAGCATTAATATGATCAAAAAATTATCTCTCTTAATATTACACATTTAATTATTTTTTCACGCTTTAAGTAATTAGATTTTTCTCTATTTTTTTTTTATTCTATTTTAATTAATAAACAAACGCGCCGCATAAACGCGCCGTGATATTAAGGAAACGCACATATATATATATTTAATGTTATTTCACATTAAACTTAGTTTGTAGAATTTAAGAGGATACGGCGCGCGAGATATAGAAGAGAGTGTTATAAAAATATATTCTCATTTTCGTATCAACCTTTCGCGATTTATGTAACAAGCTCATGCCAACGTTGAAAACCCTCTAAAACCCCCCACGGCACGGGTCGGTCTTTCTCGGCGCGTTTTACT